TGGTCAATAAGGAAAAGGTACTTTTGCTGAAGTGATTTTATAGTCAGTGAAATCTTGATGAGTCAAGCTTAGACATGAAGAGGGGCATGGATAGAGCAAATAGTCAAGGGCTTTTCCCCAGGGTAGGTGGGGGGGGGGGGGGAGTCTAAAACTAGAGGGGCATAGGTTTAGGGTGAGAGGGGAAATATTTAAAAGGGCCCTGAGGGACAACTTTTCACACAGAGGGTGGTGTGTGTATGGAATGAGCTGCTAGAAAAGTGTTGGAGGTGGGTACGATTACAACATTCAAAAGACATCTGAATGGGCATGTGAATAAGAATGGTTTAGAAGGATATGAGCCAAATGCCAAAAAATGGGACTAGTTCAGTTTAGGAAACTTGCGTAGTTTGGATGAGTTGGACCAAAGGGTCTGTTTCCATTCTGTATGGCCCTATGACTCTAAATGCACTTGTGTGAAAGTTATCATCTATTCCCATTGGGAGGACAGAAAAAGCAAAAATAATTAAGTTATTAATAATTCACATGATTAGCCAAAATTCCACATTTTATTTAGATTAGCAAACCAGTAAGCAAAATATAATGCTAAATTCCTATGTAAAAGAGAGATTTCTGTGGCTCAAGCAAGTCAGCTTTTTCTGCCAAGGGTCATGTACTCACTCTGACCAATCAGAATGGAGTGGTTGTCCCAAAACATGCTCACATTTCACTGACTCTTAGCTGGAATGGAGCAGTTTGGTTTAGGAGGAAAGATTGGGCCTGGATCCACTGGAGTTTAGAACAGTTAGAGGCAAATTGATTGAAACGTATAAGGTCCTGACGGTGTGAAATAACGCCCGAGAGGCCATTATCCCATCACCACGTCACCTTTTATTTACACAGGAAAAGTCCTGGATACTGATCCCACTCCCTCAGAACCAGCTCTGAGTGAGCAGAACCTCCGACACTCCTGTTTATATCTGTCAGCCAGGGCTCCCTGATTGGACCAGGTTAACAGCCCCAATCAGGGAACTCCTATCGTAGGAGGCCCAGCTGGCTGACCTCATTACAGTCAGCTGCAGGTGTTTGTGGAGAAAATATTTCCTCTTGTGAGAGAAGCTAGGAATAGGGGTCACTGTTTAAAAATAAGGAGTCTCCCATTTAAAATGGAGATGAGGAGAATTTTTTTCCCCTCACAGAGGATTAGAATAGAATCCCCACAGAGCAGATAGAAGCCATTTGGCCCATCAAGGCTGCACTGACCCTCCAAAGAACATCCCACCCAGATTGAGCCCCCACCCTATTTCTGTCTTTGAATATGTTTAAGGCAAAGGTGGGCAGATTGCTGCTGAGTGAGGGGGTGAAAGGGTATAAGGAGTAGGCAGAAATGTAGACTAGTCCATACAGCCATGATCTTCATGGATAGCTGAGCCAGCCAAGAGGCTGAGTGGCATACTCCTGCTCCTAATGAATATGCCTGTATGTTCGTAATTCCTGAATGAAGCCTGCGAGTGTGGAGAAATCTGTGAGGAAGTTAAAGGTGTTGTTGGTCAGAGAGAAAGTGAAGCTAACTTTCTGTCCAGTGAGGGTAAGAATGGGAAGGTCAGCTATCCCCGTGTCAAGAAACAGAAATGGCAAAGTGATGGAATATGTAACACGGGAGTATCGAGTGGATCATGTTGATTTGATTTGATTTATTGTTGTCACATTTTCCTTAGTACAGTGAAAAGTTTTGTTTTGTGAGCAGTGCAGGCAGATCAGAGCAAACAAAGATAAGTAGATCATAGGGTGTTTAGACAGTGTGAGGCCTATAGGGTTACAGCTGCACAGGAGGTGCACAGAAGCAAGATCAACATTAGATTTGAAATTAGAGAGGTCCATTCCACAGTCTAATAACAGCGGGGAAGAAGCTGTGCTTGAACCTGTTGTGTTCAAACTTCTGTATCTTCTGCCTGATGGAAGAGGTTGGAAGAGATATTACCAGGATGGGAGGGGTCTTTGATGATGTTGGCTGCCTTTCCACAGCCATGAGAGGTGTAGCTGGAGTCCATGGAGGGGAGGTTAGTTTTCCTGATGGTCTGGATTGTGTTTGGGATAGCAGGTTACATTAAGATTCAGGCATGCGCCAAAGTGGGCCTCCTGGGTTTATGTAAAGACTGACTTACCCTGAATTTGAAGGCAGCTCCATTGGAATTTCACTCACCAAGGTTTTACTGTAATAATCAGAAACAGAAAACTGGCTAGATCAATCTCTTCTGAAAGAAAATGCAGTCACCTTTACATCATATTTCTTATATTCTCAGGACAATACAGACTGTTTCACAGCCCGTGAGTTATTTTGGAAACACTGACATTCTGCACCGTACAGAGAGTGGGGAACTGATCTCACAGGAAGCTCCCACATTGAGCAAAGAGATAAAAGATCATTAATCTTGGCGAACATTCCCACTAGGACACTGGGAGAATTCTTTGCTTATCCATGAATAGTGCAGTGTTATCGGAGACTTTTAAAAGAAGGAGAGGCTTGATATTGAACATCAGATTTAAACCTGCAAATCATGGACTCCACTTTGTCACTTGCTGTGCTGCACTCTGCTCTGCCAAATTTCCTGTTCTTAAAATCACTATTATTAATCAGTACAAATAGGGTACAGAACTGCGGAAGCTGGAAATCGGAAAGAAAAACACACATTGCTGGAAAGATCTCAGCAGGTCTGGCAGCATCTGTGGAGAGAAAGTAAAGTTAATGTTTCGGGTTGAGTGCCCCTACTTGAGTACAAATATGGAGTCTGTGTGAGGAGTTTTGGGGGGAGTGGGGCTGGTAAATGGTGGAAGGCTGGTCAGATGAGGATTTGAAAAACTCATCACCGCACCCCAGCTTTTCCCATCTGATCCTGAGTGATCCTGAGTAGAGATGAGTTTCCTGAAACATGGGAGGGGAACCAAACGATGGAGCTTCAGAATGTTGAAGTGGAAAGCTGCTTTAAACTCAAATTCAAGACCCACACATCAATGTTGCATTTGGCATCAATCAGCAGATTGTGATTTGCCATCTACTGCTGTGAAGAGGGGGAGGTGATTTCCTTGTGATATTCTCACTAAATTGTAAATCCAGAGACCCAGGTAATGGTCAAATCCTACCATGGCAGATGGTGGAGTCTGATTTCAATAAAAATCTGGAATTAAGAATCTTTAAAAATCATTGTCAGGGAAACCTCATTTGGTTCACTAGTCTCCTTTGGGGAAGGAAACTGCCATCCATACCCTGGTCTAGTGACTCCAGACTCAAACAGTGTCCATTCTGTAGTGCCCTCAGTCTGTGATTAAATAAAGGTCACAAACTCAGGACCTATGGAAACATACAGCAGGAAAGGAGGCTGTTTGGCCCATTGCATCAATGCTGTAAGAGATAAAATTCAGTCTACTCTCTTTTCCAGTTCTTGGACCATAGCCCTTTTGGTCACACACTGCGCATGCATTTCCAAATGTTTTATTTAAAATTTCTGAAGGTTTCTGATTCAATGAACTTCTCACTCCATGAGATCTAGGACCCCATCACACTCTGGGTGAAAAATGTGTCCCTGTGATCCTTCCATCAAATTCTTTATACAGCATTTGTGTCCAATATACTTTTTAAACTTGTAAAGGGAAAAGTATTTCGAAACGAACGCTGGCTGAGTAGCCAAGTGTGGTATTTACTGGGCCCTGCTGTGCTGGGGTTCCCCATGTGGAGCTGGTTGGACAGGATTCTCTTCGGTAACCTTGGAACCCTTCATGTGAACCACAGGTTCAGGAGAGATTTATCAGGATGTTACCAGGAATGGAGTTTTGAGTTACAAGGAGAGGCTGGATAGACAGGGACTTTTTTTCCCTGGAGTGTAGGAGGTTGAGAGGTGACCTGATAGAGGTTTATAAAATCATGAGAGAAGTAGATAAGGTGAATGGCAGGTGTTTTTCCCTTGGGTGGGGGATTTCAACATTAGGGGGCACATTTTTAAGGTGAGAGGAGAAAGATTTAAAAAAAACATGAGAGGCAATTTTTTTACATAGAGTCTTGTTCAAGTGTGGGATGAGCTTCCAGAGGAAGTGATGGATGTGGATAGAGTTACAATGCTTAAAAGACATTTAGATAAACACATGAATAAAAAATGTTTGGAGGGGTATTGGCCAAGCGCGGGCAGGTGGGACTAGTTTAGTTTGAGATGATGGTCAGCATGGACTGTTTGGACCGAAGGGTCTGTCGCTATGCTGTATGACTCTACGACTGACCCAGCCAAGCTCAGCGCCAATGAGAGTTGTCTCTGATGTAGCACTTCGCAAGAATCCCAGAACTTTGTCCTACTATAGGATCTCAGAAGCAGGAGTGCTTCTACTTAATTCATGTGATGTTGTAAGGTTCTCCATGTCCCACACCCAAAATGAGGTGATGTCAGATCCACTGCTCGCTAGATTTTGGTTTTTATTCTGAGCCAAACTCCATGCTCTTTCTGAAGTCTCTGAGTGATCCTGCCAAACACTGAGCATGTTTGAACCAGACAACAGTTAATTCTATCGTCCAGCCAAATATTATTGGATAGGGCACTCCCAAGTGAGCAGAATGTTGGGACTGAACAGAGAGGTGGTTTGTTTTCAGTGACTGTGAGGTCTGGTTTGGGAATCTGTAGCCAAGGGGAGGGTGTGTACAAGATCTCTGTCTACTGTCAAGAAAGCTAGAAATGAAATAAGGAGAAAATTCTTTACTCAGAGAGTTTGTTCGGATTTGGAATGTGCTGCCTGGGAGGATGGTGGAGGCAGATTCCATAGGAGGTTACAAAAGACAGCTGCATATATATTTGAAAACGACAAATGTAGAGGATTACGTAGATAGGGCTGGAGAGTGGGACTAGCTCGGTGGCACTTTCAGGAGTCGGTATAGACATAATGGGTCAAATGGCCACCTTCTGCCCTGTAAAATTCTATGATTCTACTTCTGACAAAGAACCAAAGACACTAACTATGCTCTATTTATCTTAATTATTTTTCAGAGAAGGAGACTGGTGGGAGGCTCGATCATTGACAACCGGGAAAACAGGATATGTCCCCAGTAATTACGTGGCCCCTGTCAACTCCATCCAAGCTGAAGAGTACGTTACTAAACTACATTGTGACATTTTACAAAACAATCACAGCAGATGGCAATAAACATTTACAACCTTTCTCAGTTGGAGCAGCCATTCGAACTTTGCCTTCTATTTAATTGCTGCAATCAAATGGCTGCCACTTCTTTATCTGATAATGGAAGTACTTCTGAGCATACACTTAGCAATAAAAATCACCTGCAGACTAATAAATTCTTGGTGACCCCAGCATGAGGAGTATTTAATGCTGTTGTTCTTTGTGCAGATGGTACTTTGGTAAGATGGGTCGGAAGGATGCTGAGCGGATGTTGCTGTGCCCTGGTAACCCTCGAGGCACCTTCCTCATACGGGAGAGTGAGACAACCAAAGGTAGGTCAAGCACCTCTGCAGGGCTGAGGAACTCTAAAGGCCACCATCATTGGAACTCCACAACCCCAGGCTGCAATACAGACAAAATGAGAACCAAAAGAACTGCGGATGCTGTAAATCAGAAACAAAAGCAAAAATTGCTGGAAAAGCTCAGCAGGTTTGGCAGCATCTGTGGAAATAAGTCAGACTTCTGAGGAAAGAGCACTCGATGTGAAATGTTAAATTTGATTTCTGTCCACAGATGCTGCCAGACCTGCTGAGTTTTACTAGCAATTTCTGTTTCTGCAATACAGTCAGCTGACTCAAAAATAAAATACTGCAGATGCTGGAAATCTGAAAAACGAATGAGGGCATTCTGAGCAGTAGAGAGAAACCAAGCTAACGTTTCAAGTTCTTGACCCTGTTGTCAAGCCGAATACATCTGCAGTCTGAGATGTTAGCCTGATTCCCCTCTCCACAGACACCACCAGACCTGCTGAACATTTCCAGCATTTTCCATTTTTAAATCAGTCATCTTCCACTACTGAGCTCACCTTCTGAATATGCATTTACACTGAATTCATCAAAACAACTTGCAATTATGGAGACCCTTTAACATGGTGAAACATTCTAAGATTCTCCAGTCAGAGAGATGTCAAACAGTCTGTGACACGGAACTGTATAAGATAGAATTAGGATAAATGATCAAAAGCTGCATCATAGACATCGTTTTCAGACGTGCCACAAAGAAGGAGAAAATGTCAAGGTTTAAGGAAGGAATTTCAGAGCTTAGGCAACTAAAGGCACAGTAGCCAATGGTGGAGTGATTCTAATCAGGACTACGCTGGCTGCCAGATTTGAAGGAGCATGGATATCATGAAGGGGAGTGGAGCTGGAGGAGGTCACAGAGATATGGAGGGATATGAAAACAGGGTTGGGAACCAAGGTCTGTAAGTGTGAGGCTGCAAAAGCACAGCATCTGAGGAGCAGGAACAAAAACGTTTTGGCCTGGAGATCCTCAGATGCTGTCTGACGTGCTTGTGCTTTTCCAGCCTCACACTCATAGATTCTGACTTCCAGCATCTGCAGTCCTTATTGTCTCCAAGTTGAGAATCAAGGTGTTGCTCAACCAGTGAGGCCAGGCACCGGTGTGGTTCAGTGAACAGCAGGGGAGTGATGGATGAATGGCAACCTTGAACGAATGAAGACAGAGACAGCATCGTTTTCAATGAGCTCACATTTAGAGAAAGTAGGATTCCATCAAAGAGAGGAGTGAAGTATTTTTATTCTTTCACAGATTTTAGGCTTTGCTGACATTCCTAATTGCCTTGGATGTTGTGGTGGTAAATCAAGATGAGAGGTTAAAAGAGCCCTGGATGATGTCTCAATATGTCTCAATTGCATAGATAATGGTCATTCCTGCTTGACCTGTGCACCCCCCCACCTCTGTCAACACATGGTTGCTCCTTCCCTGGGGTAGGGATTCCATAGATTCGGAGTAAAATAATGTCTCCTTATCTTGGATCGAAGTGGCATTCCCCATTATTTTTAAACCGTGCCCCCTTTCCTCCCTCCAATCTAGACTCTCCAACCAGGGGAAACATCTTACCTGCATCCTCCCTGTCTATCCCTTTCAATAAAACAAAAATAAACTGTGGATGCTGGAGATCTGAAACAGAAAGGTTAGCTCTTCTCTTTAACAGGTGCTGCCAGACCTGCTGAGTTTTGTGAGCAATTTCTTTAAGTATCCCTTTAAGTATTTTGAAGGTTTCAGTGAGATCACCCTCGTTCCTTGAAATTCTCAAGAATACAAACTCAGTTTGCCCAATTTCTTTTCATAGGACAGTCCAACTGTCCAAGGAATATGTCTGGTGAACCTTTGTTGCATCAAACAGATTGAGGCAGTTTAAATCCAATTCCTAATGGGTATAAGTCAATAGTACAAAACTACGGCTTCAGTGCCTCTACGACATTTTTCTATGTAAAAGGTGCAATCTAAATCCAGCTTGTTGAACTGTCCATTTTTCAGTAATCTGAATTGGTAATCACACCCAAAGCAATCGAGTATTACTTGATCACCTGATGAAGGAGCAGCGCTCTGAGAGCTTGTGATTTCAAATAAACCTGTTGCACTATAACCTGGTGTCGTGTGACTTCTGACTGAATATTACTCAGATTGGGTTTAGGGAATTGAAAGAGAATAGTTTCCATCTGAGCCAGGAATCTTTGAACTTCCCATGGTTACGGCTGCCAGAATTTGGAAATGTTGCCCTGAGATGGATATTCTGCACCTTAATGAACTTGAGAAAGAGTGAGGAATGGAAGGGTATGGGGTTGAAAACATACTCTGAGGCTTGTGTATACACAGCCCTAGGACAGACATCATTAATGGAGATTGCAGAGGTTCGGAGAGGATAGCATGTTGAATCTTTCCTGTCTATTCTGTTGGTCTAAAGTCTGCAATGATAGACTGGTATGATGGTGAGAATATCATGCATTCCATCTGAACATATCTAATGACAAGCTGCCTTCCTGTGTAACCAGGTGCCTACTCCTTATCCATTCGGGATTGGGATGAGGTGAAAGGAGATCATGTGAAACATTATAAAATTCGTAAACTGGATAATGGTGGGTATTATATCACGACACGAGCCCAGTTTGAGACTGTCCAGCAGTTGGTCCATCATTACACAGGTATGTGCGATATATAAGTGAGACTATAACAAAAATATATGAAACATTTGGGCAGGATCGATAATTATTGTCAAAAAATAAGTTAGTGTAACTCAATGTTGGCCACTTACTAATTTTACAGGAATGTGCCTTCTAAAACTAAAGTAAAACATTATCATTAATTAAACATGAAACTTTAAATAAAATTGGCTTTCAAACCAAAATGCACCAACCAATATTTTCTCCATTTTTAAAATTACAACGAGTTTCTCCACGTGTTAGTAATATTTTTGCAGCTTGTGTCATTGAGTATTTGTGATTGAAAAATACATGAGTGCAATTTGATTATATCCTGATATTCAACATCAATCTGAGAATATTTGGCTGGCAGTACTCCAGTAACTGCCTAATTATGTAGAGTTGTTAAGTTTATATTATGATTGAGAATTCATGTTAGCTTCTTAAGTGTTTCCTGTCTAACAAAAATTTGGCTGTCAATTTTCCACCTCACATGATCTCGTACCTACACGATTTCTGAATAAACAACATTTGGTTAAATGCATCTGCTCGAGGTGTTCAGAACAAATTGACCTTTATTCATTGCCTGAAATTGTAGGTATATTTTCCTGATCCAGCACCTGGGAGCAGGTTAGTATGGCGACTGCTTGAAATCAGCTCAAGGAATGAGACAAGGCTCCTTGAGAGAGACGGCCAAATTTATGTCTATTCATTTAATTGGAAGGAAGGACAGGTAGCTTTCCCATTTGAGACACCATTTCTCCACACCCAATCCTACAATGAAATCTTTGTTTATTTTCTTTATTAATATAAAGGATGTGGGAGGTCTTGACAAGGTTATCATTTATTCCCCATCCCTAATTGCCCCTGATAACTGAATGACTAGGTGTGGCTGTTTCAGAGGGCACTTTGTTGTGGCTCAGGAGTCATATGTAGACCAGACTGGGTAGGGAAGCCAGATTTCCTTCCCTACAGGACACTAGTGAACCAGATGGGATTTTACAACAATCAATGATGTTTCTGTGGTCACCATGGTACAAAGATGCACACGTTAGGTAGATTGGCCATGTTAAATAGCCCATAGTATCCAGGGATGTGCAGGCTAGGTGGATTAGCCATGGGAAATGCAGGGTTACTGGGATGGGGTGGGTCTGAGTGGGATGATTTTTGGAGGGTCGGTGTGGAGTCAAAGAGCCAAATGTCCTGCTTCCACACTGTAGGGATTCTATGATTTTTGTTTTTATTCATTCATGGGATAAGGGTGTCACTGACTAGGCAGCATTTATTTCCCATCCCTAATTACCCAGAGGGCAATTTAGAGTCAACCACATTGCTGTGGGTCTGGAGTCACATGTAGGCCAGACCAGGTAAGGATGGCAGTTTCCTTCCCTAAAGGGCATTAGTGAACCAGATGTTTCCTTCTGACAATCGGCAATATATTCACAGTCATCATTAGATTCTTAATTCCAAATATTTATTGAATTCAAATTCCACCATCTGCCGTGGCAGGATTTGAACCTGGGTCCCCAGAACATTATCTGGGTCTCTGGATTAACAGTCCAGCGATAATACCACTAGACCATCACCTCCCTTGTGATTCTGTGCTAACTGTGAGTATAGCAGGGTGACCAGTAACCCCACAAACAGAAACTGGAGAAATATACCCTTGAAGAACACCCTTGTAGATTGACTGTCTTCTAACCCCACTCTGACCAAATATCTCAAGTAGATCTTGATGTTATGAGTTATTAAGCGATATTTGCAGCTCATATGTTGATTTTTATTTAATGTGCTTTCACTCTGTGATTTAGTCTGCAACAGTTCCAAAAATAAGAATTAGTGGAATGTCCGATAATATCTAACAATAAAACCTTCTGAAAATTACACTGTCTCATAACAGTGACAATGTTAGAACCTGAGCTAATTCAGCAAAAGGTTGAAAAAACTGTCTGATACATTATTTTCCCCACTGACACATTCTATGGTTAAAACCACTTTAAGAAGCAAAATATAAAGGTGGCAACATGTGTAAACAGTATTTTAGCTGTATGTGTTAACCTTCTAAAATCAAGGTTTCTCCTCATGAGATCCTTCCCACCAGATCAATCCCAGCCACAACTCTCAGAAACTCTTATCAGAATGGGTGTGGCGTGATCGATTTTTATTTTGACCTTGTTCAGTAAATGACTGCCTTCCATTTGGTACTTCTATATATGCAAAATTCTCTATCCATGCTGCCAGTGGCACACTAAGCAAAGAGCTGCATTGCTATGGCACCTATATTACCATGTGAGGTATTTGCAGTGCATCACAGGATTGAGTGAACACATAAACTGAGAATTGAGACATTCTTAATACATACAACAGGAAAGGAAACATTGTGCATTCAATCACACATCTCTCTCTTAAAGCATCGACTTAATTAGTTATTAGATCCTTCATTGAAATAAGAAAAAGTAAATTTATATTTGTACACTCAAATCGAAAACAATCATTTCAGGATTATGAGGAATTAAAGCTGGTAGTTAAATAGAATTTGGCTGTATAACAGATGTAGTGAAGAAGCACTGACTGATATAATTACCACAAAGATCATTTTGCTGCAATTTATTTCTAAGCTGATAAAATGTTCTGCTCTGACATGTTCATGTTTGCCTCTAAAAACTGCTTAATGTACTTTGCTGCGTAGAATGATGCAGTGCTGTTACTTTCACTGCTAGCAAATAGTCAAGAGTTACAGACGCAAATCAAAACCATTAATGTGAGAAGACAAACTTGGAAAAAACATGTTGTCTCTAAAATGTTTAGTATTGGGCTATTGTTATTAACACTTTCACTGGATATTCATGGATTCTTCAATGTCTATTGGATGTTAATGTTTATTGGTGATAAATACTTAAAACAGAATTGAGTCCCAGTGCACCAATTTGTACATAAGACTGAAACAGGTTTAAGGAATTGCTTTTAGAAGTTCTGATGATGTGCAATTTTTAAAAATGATTTTTGCTTCTTGCCTTTGTGACTGCTCAGAAAAGCTCAGTCCGTGTCTCTGTGTTGCTGCTGTTGGGCAGGGCCGCTGGTGTCACTCATGTTAGAACCAGACTGAAACCAGATTAATTTTCTAAACCACTTCCGAAGGTGTAAACTAGTGCTTCAGTACCAGTGAACCTCAAGCTTAATGCTTAATTATTAAATAACCTCAGAAATGAAGACCCTGTCATTGTCGTGTGTGAATATTTGTCTCCTGTCTGTGAATTTTCTGGGAAATATTAGTTAAAGCCTTTTGCCCAATTATGTGCACTAATGGTCTTGGACTCTTACCAGATCTAAAGTTCATTTAATTCAAAAGGTTATTGAGATTTGTTGAATCTTCTGAATTGGTAGAAGATGTCCATTGGTTAATATTAAACCCAAGTATTTAAAACTTTCGAATAAAAATCACCGTCAGTACAATATAAGAGACAATCCATGAATTTGACAGTATTAATTACTTTAGATACTGATAGAGGAAAGATTTGTTCTTGCATTCTGACCTTGAAGCCCTAACACAGAAAATGTTGGTTCAAGTTCAGCAACAAAAACTTAAAAAACACACGATTCGCATCAAGCAGAAATTGTTGTTGGAGGGTAAAAGGGAAGCTTAAAAGTACAAAATACAGCAATATTAAGGATTATGCATCGTCACAAGTCCACAGCGGGCACATTAAATTATTGGATTAAGTCCTGTGCTATACTGTTCTATGTTCTACAAAATAACAGCATCCTACATGAACCCCAGCATAAAAATTGTTACGTTCGATTAGTTAACAATTAACGAGCGATGTCCCTCTATCTTAGAGAATATTTTGTGAATACAGATGTAACATAATTTGAAAAATATTGCAATATGATGTAATCCAGTTTTGCTATTGAAAGCTTGATTTTTTCTGAAATCTGTTAGCAAAATGGACAATAATTATTAAACAATTTGTGAAGGAAAAGATAAACGTTACTGAATTTTGCCATTGTTTGCCTGACGTTCTTGAACTCTTTGGAGGTGTAATGATGAGATGTAAACATAGGAGGCAGGAACGCAAGAGTACGAAAAGGGAAATAGATCTTCTTTAAGTTTTCTACAAAATGTAACTACTCCTGTAGACTCAACTTTGACAATGCAATAAATTTCAATGAGTTAACCATCAATAAAATCCTCAGCCGTGCCCTCATAATTCTTTCTGTGATAACTAGACATTAAGAACTGACTGTACGTTCAGTCGTTACACCTTTAATACCATCACCTGTGTGTTTGCACTAAACAGGCATTGCTTAATTTTAATTCTGGAAACTGAAAGTCCCTGCTTGAAATCAAGTTTAAATTTTCTGGGATCTTAAGCTATCTTAACAATAGTAAGAAATTACAGAGTAATTCTGGCTGAAAACATCAGAATTTTGAAGATTGTTGTGTGTGAGAGTCTTACAATCAGGACATCATTGTATTCTGTGCTTTTGGTGAAGCAGTATAATTGTGCATTACCGGAATTACATATCTGTGTTTGCTGTTGGTTACTTCTGTCTCACCGTTAACTCTCTTGTCTGCTTTTCTTGCTTTTCTCTCCTCTGCCTCTGATACACCCTGGTCATAGAGCGAGCTGCGGGCCTGTGCTGTCGCTTGGTGGTGCCATGTCACAAGGGCATGCCGAAACTGGCAGACCTTTCAGTCAAAACCAAAGATGTGTGGGAGATACCTCGGGAGTCCTTGCAGCTGATCAAGAAGCTGGGCAATGGGCAGTTTGGGGAAGTGTGGATGGGTAGGAATTATGCCATGTCAAAGCAGACTTGGGACTTGCAGCAGATATGCAGTGACATGTGATCATTCTAAATGGGCATTTGGTCTCAAAATGTCCCATTGATGACTCCATGCTAAAGAAGCAACTCAGAGTTGTGCCACTGTCACATGGATGTGTTGATTATTTGGTGGAAATGACACATTATTCTCTAAGATTGGATAAAGCTGTCAATTTGAGCCTTTGCAATCATGGAACTGATTTGGCCTTTGCTCGGATTGAATGAATTACAACAGAGAGGGAGATTTTCCAGCCAATCATCTGGAGTGATACGGCTCCTCCAAGTGGATTAATCCATGCTGAACCCATTTCCCTACCCAGTGTTCCTCTTATATTCCCCCTTTCCAAATAGTTATCATGCTGTCATTTTAAATCATGTGCACTTTTCCAGTTTGACAGCTAATGCTCAGCATCCATGATCCAATAATTATCTGTAGGAAAATAATCTTTGATCTGTCAATTGGTGGAATCCAGATTTCATAATTAAACCTCACAAAACCATTCATCATTTCATGAATCTCCCTTAGATTGTCACTTTAATATTCTTTGTTTTTAAAAAAGTTACCATTTTTTAGCTTTATTTCAAAGCTATAATCTCTCATTTCATTCCCATCTGTATTCTGTCCTTTACTTCAATATCCTGACAATAACAGTGTTCCCAAAAGTATAGAGAGTATTTCAACTGTGACCTATTTAATGTCTTATACAAATTCAGCATCACCTCTTCCCAGGTGGATACACTGTGAATGACCTTAAATTGATCAAAGAAGCCAATATATATTACAAATTAGTAATATATTGGCTGGTCCATTGATGAGCCTTATTTATTTGATCCTTTTCTGGTAGATCAATCCTCCAAACTGAAGCACTACAATTCATAACATCGATGTTGAATTTTTCATAACCCTCTTAAAACTTGCTGAGAAACGGTATGATTATTTTGTTGCTGCCTCCCTACAGTTCACCCAGGACTGTGTGCATGGCGCCCGAAGATGGAACTTTTTCTTACAGATAGTTCCTTTGAGTTCCAAATCCATTAGCACTTGCAAACTGGCTGACATAGGCACTGAAATGAGAATAATCTGTTAGCCAAAAGATAACATTGACAGCTGCAATTGTTGTAAGTCCCGTCAGCACCAATGCATGTGAACCTGTTTACATCCTACCTTCATTGCATCCATTCCTACAGATCATACTGACGGTTTGTGCCATGTGTTAACAAAGGCTTGTCCGGGTGAGACACCACAGACTCTAGGATTGGGTAAAGATGCATGGGAGATAAATCGACAGTCCCTGACTTTGGACAAAAAACTTGGTCAGGGATGTTTCGGAGATGTGTTTATGGGTAAGGTGGCAAATCATTTTCTTGCTGTTTTCTTTAAGCAAAGACCCAGGAAGTGGTAGGAGTTATAAAGAAGGAGCCAAATGTTTGGTGGTATAATTTACAGATTCTCAAACAGAAAGTGCTGCCAAGCCGTCAGTAACATATTGATATTAACTTGTTAAACATCCCTTGCCTGCTATTTCCATCATTGTATTAATATTGACCTTCCTACAGTAAACAATTGGATTAATCCTCTCCTATGTAGGGTAGTTGTGTATGGATGTCCATACATTTATCATCTCCATCTCTCAGCATTTCTTAGGTTAATAACAGTTCACATTCCATTTACAGCAGAGTCCTGACGTCGCATTTTGGGTTAAAAGGGAGTAACTTAAAATAGTTAAACCATTAAATCAAATTACTAATTTATGAAATTATAGATGCTACCCCAATCCCTTGAAGATAATAACCAAACAACCTATAGTAATGTAAGTATACAGGGATGATGCATCTAAACCAACAGATAGTGACACTTATTTAAATGTGAAAGTTTGAGTACGAAATATTTAACCTTTACAATTTTAAAATAAAGAATATTTTAGTTCTGCATGATTGTTTTCCCAAAAAATTGCTTATAAGTAGTCATCTGTAATTACAACTTCACAAAACACCATCAACTATAAAAGATTCAATCATTTCTCGACAAATTCAATCATGTCTCGATATATATAATGAATTGAGTCCAATAGTTATTCGTAAGTGGATTGTTCAAGACTTTTTAAAGCATGGCCAGATTTAATTTAATCTAATTTATGCTTTATCATGATGCAAGATTCACCCATTAATTGGTAAATGAGTTCTAACATTGTTGCCTGGCAATGAATGATGAGCATTAACAGGGCTGGTAATATTTACAACCACTGATAGTGAGTTGGACTTACCTGTGTGTCATCTGAACATTTTCTGCCCTGTTCCTTCTGGAAAATAGAATTGGAGGGAATTCCAAGGGAAACAGGAGATTCTCTACTTTTCCACCCAAGGGAATACCCTTTCCCTGGGAATCAGCTGACTACCAGGCCATAGATAGCCTTGCAATCGCATCCCTACCCAGAATTCACATCTAATCTCCTATTGCAGAGTGATCAGGAAAAGGAAACTTAGATAGTGTTTTAGGGCACTGAGGCCAAAGAGGTACCCAAGCCACTGTTCCCGTTGAGATTTATAAGCTCACATCAACCTGGAATCAAGCTTCATACAAACTGATTTTTAAAAATTTATTCTGCATCCCTAATTGCCCAGAGAGCTGCTAACAATCAGAGATAGTAGGAACTGCAGATGCTGGAGAATCCGAGACAACAAGGTGCAGGGCTGGATGAACACAGCAGGCCAAGCAGCATCATAGGAGCAGAGAGGCTGACGTTTCGGGCCTAGACCCTTCATCAGAAAAGGGGGAGGGGAAGGGGGTTTTGAAATAAATAGGGAGAGAGTGGGAGGCGGATAGAAGAGGGATAGAGG